TGAACTTGCTCACTGGTTCACAGTTCACTTCTGTATGCACCTCTTGCAAACGTGTGAAACACAACCGTGTTTGTCTTGCATCTTGCAACTTATCTGTTGAGCATGTACTACGAAACCTGTTGCACTCACTAAGTTTATATGCATTACTAGACATCATGGTGCCTTCTCGATATCCACCTCTCTGAGGCCCTTTCGTCATCAATGATTGCGTTTTACCCTCAGACTGCTCTATTCTAGGGGTGAGATCTAATAGACTGGAAAACTTGCTCATAGATTGATTGACGCTATCTTTTACCAGTTTCAGGATATCATCAAACTTTGGCTCGATACCCTCATCCTCCATACGGGAGCTTATCTTCACCCACTTCCTTTGCAGTCGAGTAGGTAGGCGACTTGCTATTACTTCTAGTATAAAACTCGAGTTGAGGTCACTCATGCGATTCATCGAAATCATTCCATTCTTGTAAATTAGCAAATTATCTAAAAACTCAGTGAGTGCCTGGGAGTCATCCTGTAATTGACCACCATTACCCTTAACAGCCTCGAATAATTTCCCTGCAATCATCGAAGGTCTTCCAAACCTTTGACGTAATATGCTCATAGCCTCATCGTAGCCCTCTTTTGGCTTCATAAACTTACAACACTGTATAGCTCTTGCAGCATCTCCAGTGCAATATCTCATCAAATACATTAACTTCAATTCATCGCTTAATAGAAAACTACTCAACATGATCTCAAACTCCTTTACAAATTGTAAATAATCAGCTGGGTTTCCATCAAAACACCGTGGTTCTAATTTAGGGAGTTTGATGTTCCTATTATCCATGGACGGCGAAACAGTAACATCAACCATGTCATGCTTAACATCAGACACATCGTTACAATTAACAGACAAGTCACCATGACTTACTTTCCTGTTTGCATCCAAGACGCTCTGTCCCTTCTTTGACCCAGGCATTGTTGAACTTGACCCAATTCCAAAACAGTTCCAGATGTTGCTTGTTCAAAGAGGACTTGACCGGCACCAGGAAAAATGAACGGCGACTATCCAAACTTTCACCAACTGTTTGAATCCGCCAGATCTGTTTCTATCGTCAGAAACTGTCAATCACGTCTCATAAACTGTTAATGCTCAGCTCTCGCTACGCTCGGGCCCACGCTGTTCCTTGAAGATTTCAGAAACGCTTAGTTATAACGGACGAAAAAACCAAAATACCAATTGGCCGCTTGATATTTCTTTATTGTTACACCAACATATAAAAAGAATAAGTGAACTAAGGTCTGAAAACAAATATTACAATAATAAATCATAAGATTACTTCTGACGATGTTTGACTCTTCTTTCTGAACAGCGACCGATGAGACGACGACTGTCGTATTGATGCCTCCGCGAAAATTGGGGAAGTTGATTTTGAGCAAACAACCAAGAATTGATCGTCCAATCTTCAACTCCATTGACATCCGTTCATTCCTGGAATGCATCCACCTCACTTGACATGGAAGCATGTCTGCGGAGTTATTCAGGTGCTCAAGGTAATCAAACGATTCAACTCTTAACTGGCATTTTGTAGTGCCGATGATGGTAGCTTGCCGCGATCTGTCGAATGCCTTGTTATGAAATTAGACATTCACTCAAACATGGACAGAAGATAGTAAACCCTTCTGCAACAACAGAATACAAGGACCAGGCAACAGATCGTTATTAAGGAAGTCAACACATATTTATAGATTTTCATGTACATTACTATAGATTACTGTTAGCAGAAAAACACAGTCCTCTGATTGGTTGTTTCCCACAGAAAGTTAATCTTGCACCTCTGTGGATGTTTCTTGAATGTCAGATCATCTATATGTTAACTGTATCCACCTACCCAAAGCCTTTGTTCTCATTTTTCTCATGACCAATATTGGGAACATAAACACTGAGCCAAATTACTGTCCACCAATTTTGTCTAACAGCCAGCTCTCACCACACTTCAAGTTCTCAATCGACAAAGCCTTGGAATGTTTGTGTCGTTTGAGACCAGTAAACACGGAGTGAAGCCACTTAATCAACAACAAATAGTTTAGTTTGACATGTCTGCTGCTCGCCTCTCCTCTCCTATTAGTCCTGTAGTAGAAGTTGCACAGATCTAAAGTGAGACTGAGGCTGAACAGGACTTGAAGCCACTTGCTTATATAAACCATATCATCACCCAAGGTTCTGGCTAGTAATAACTTAACATCCTTGAAAATCCCACTGTCACCAACCAGGACGCTCCATAAAATCCTTTGCAAGCAGTATCCACGATCTAAAATGGTTTACAAATGGTTTTCTACATGTTAATCAACTCACTCGCGCAAAACAACCATGCAGTGACAAATGGCGGCTGACATGGGCGCAGTAAAATAAATCTGCCTGGTTATGGCCGATATTCATCCGCATGAAGCATAATTCACTTCTGATGGTACCCGCGACTAAATGCTGAGAAAATTATACAAAAACATCAGTTATTTTAAATTAATACCTAATTCAGACCAAGGATAGGATTCGATGCCGTACACAGCAAAGTTATATGAGAGAATTGACTTCAAGCTTTGTTTTTTCCAAGTATTTTTCAAAAATTATATATTCTCACTCTGTTTTTAATCCGTCCAACATGTACTTGGATTTTATCGCTAATGTGAAGGCAATATTTCTATATTTCTTAATGTGCTACATTGAGTGACTAGTTAGCAGATTGGTCCCACAAACTAAAGTAAAAAAACAGCAGCTATGTCAACTCGGCATTAATTAAATTTGTGTAATTTAAATAATACTTTTCCCTGCCTGTACGATTGGTCCATCCTTCATATATAGGAATAAATAAATAAATACTGATAGGCAAAGTCACGTATCGATCCAATCATATACCCCCCAAGAATATGTGAATTAATGCACAGTGGTAGCAATAGAATGTGTGCATTATTCAGCAGAGGTAAAACCATTTGGTAGATTATATATCTGTCTTAATACTACTTAGCTGGTGCCGAGGCATGCCTTTGATTTTTGAAGTCACATGGTGTTCTCTGGTTGAGATGTGATGCATAACACCTCTGTTCATAAACAATAGGTCGAATTTGGTACGCTGAAGTTTCTCTTATTTGTCCGAGAATGACTGAACTGTTGTGTTAAACTGGCTGGCAGGTTCAGTCAAAGGATAACCTGGATAACCCGAATGATCAGCTCTGTGTTGCCGTGCGAAAACGATGGTGAGCATATCGTGGGGATTAAGTAATTCAATGTACATCACAAGTACTGTGATATCGACCACAGGATGTCCTGAAGTTTGTGAGAAGCCTGCCATCTGCAGATAGTACGTCATATATAGACTATTTCTGGTGGCCTCTTTACGTGACGGAGAAGGTTTTCACTTCTGTGCCAGCGTCTACATGATATCGAATCTCAGTCAAGTCACCTGAAAGGCACGTAAACAGCATCATCCACGTGCACTGTGACGACGGTTAGGATGATTTCAACGACCTCTCGGTTCCCTGATATCTTTGACAAAGTCGCTTAAATGTCTCTTCTCACACATAACGCCCTCCACATTTTTACGGACAAGCATGCTTGAGCAATAGGATATTGGAAACGAATGGTTGCATGAGATCATATATCTACAGGTCTCATCTCTCCACTGTCTAATTAGACTGTTTAAACTGCAGGTACACAGCTGAGCATCCCCGCTATTTGACGAGCTGTTGTATTGAGTTATTCTGTTCATGCACGCCCGCTAAGGGTCATCACATTGCACCATATCTCTGATCCCCAAATATATTTCGGATTTTGGACGAACAGATTCTTGATGTGATTTGCCTTCCTAGAAGTTTCCCGCTCACACATAAAACAACACACTGCCGAATAATTCATATCAAATTGGCTGAGTTGAAGGTTAGAACGTTTTAAAATTACATTTCTGTTAATCTGTGAGGCTATTTACGGGGATTCCTCTGCAATTTATACAAATATAACTTTAACACTAAGACACGGGGTTGGGGGATATGTATTCGCCTTATCACGTAATAATATCTAAGGTCGTCGCGAAAATCATTCATTTCCTGAAAGCGAATGGGATGATTTCAACACACATTCCTCTGGTTCATTCGACACTTAAAATGAGAACGACTGAAGTACTTCAAGCTCAGTTTTTGATATCTAAGGAAGAGTTGACAGGAACAAGTCAATGGCCGGAGAAGCTTATCGAGTCACCAACAATCCGAAGGATTAATCGGTCTCAAGCTCTTCAGTATACTAAGTTCATAGGGACTGTTTACTTTGAAGGCGAACTTGCATTATGATGTTCATTTCTTATAGAGGGCCGTCTGACCAGTGGAAATTACCGGCTAGCAATCTGCTGTATCAATATGTTTTCTGGTCTGATGCATATGAAGTCAAGGATTTGTTCAAAAATTATAAACATGCACAAAATGAACAACTGCAAAATGGAACAAACTGATGGTGCTCTAGTGAAACATAGTCACAGGTTGAGAAGTTCAGAGCGCTATTGATGTTTAGGTGCAGATATAATAGCGATCCAACATTGCACCTTTGTGGGAATGTACTTAATTGATGTTGAATCAGATATGAGGATTTCAGCCAGATCGCGTAATGATATTTTTATTAGTTTCTGAGAAATGAGACGTCCACGTATGGAATAAAAATAACCAACTGCAATAATCAGCGATCAAGTGTCGGAGGACCGCTTCTGGCGTAATATTTATCGTACCTCAAATTTATGTACAATTTAAATGTACAAATAAAGGAAATTTTTCCTTAAAAACAGAATATCAAACTTTATATCAAGTATTTAATACATATTCGAATCCAAAAGCTGCTATTAGCAGCTAATTTTTGGTTTCGGTCCAATGAATGTGTTTTGATTGTTTAAATGACCAAATAAGTAAACCTTACATGTGCTCTTAATTTAAGCGCTCCTATTGAGGAGCCTAAAATTTTTTTCATGGCTTTGTTCTGAGGAATTATGGCTGAAACAGGATTAGGAGTTGACCATAATAGTCTGAATCCCATCCTTTATAAGAGTTTTACATTAAAAGGTAAGAGAAGGTTAAATTGACACATTTTTGATGCCAATGAGTTTTGGATTACATAATTATAAACAACCTTCTTTGTAGAAAAATCCACTTCAAAGCTTCGCATTCTTAAAAGAATCAGGAAAAGATTGTCAGCTTCCTTTGGGAAATTAAGTAAGTCGTTTATTTTATACTGACATTTCTTCCATCAGCTCCCAAAGATGGCTTGTCGAATCTTGAAGTAAGTCCAACTGGTTGGTTTATCTAATTGCTTTGGCATGTTTATAACTAGCCTCAAGGTTTGTCGCTAGGATGATTAGTTTAATTTGAACAAATTGTTAACTTGATAAGTTGTACAATTGTAGTTATATTTGTGATTATTTTATGGAATATTGTTCATTGGGCTGTTCTCCAGTTAGTTGATGCGTATATATATTCGGTATTAAAGAAGATGTCTTACTTATTAATATCCTCATTGCTTTCACATTTACAAGAAATTTGATTCATGTTTAGCCAACTGTCTTGACAGTTATTATTGGTGAAAAACCTTAAAATGCATGCATTTTAAGGTTGAACGGTCGACCATGCATGGTATATGTATATTTTGGATGGCTTTCTTCAAGCTATATTGAGACTGATTTAGTCTTCTTGAGTTTCATAGTTTGTAAAAGTACTTCGGTGCACCTAAGTGCAGAAACTGATCATACTTTCAGGTGGTTTCCGTCTCAATCCATGTTTTCCCGAAACTGTTTCCATTGGAATCACACAATTTTCACTAACTGGGTCATGTACATCTTTTAACATATTTCCCTAGCAGTCATTTCACATTTATTGTTTGAAAACGTGTGGATTATTATTGCATTAGGTGGCTATTACCACTCTGTGCAGCCACTTGTGTATTTTTCAGTTATTTGGTCTTTGAAATTGCTAAAAATACTGTGTAAAAAGGTATTTTGAATTCACTGTGTAGACTTATTGGCCTTTGTTTGTCAGCCCTGAATTTCCTCACATGCTTGTTGCATATTTCTGTATGATTTGATGTTGCTTAGCGCTCTCAGTGGAAATCCTGACCGTAGGTGCTTGAACTTCGATGCTTTATTCTAGGTTTCGGTTCACTTTCGTGTGAATTTTATAACATCTACTTCGAATCATAAAAGAGTTAGCAAATAAATAATCTAAAATTGACCTACGTACTCAAATAGAATGTAGTGGTGAAATTAAATGGCATTTAGTAGCATGAGTTAAGTGCATGCATCCAGTCTGTGATTCTTGAGGTGAAATTTTCACCAATTATTCACGCTACCAAAATGCATTTCATGACTACGTAACTGTTGGTGTTAACCTCTTTCTAGTACTTGTTTAAGAATACTTATCATCAGTAAATTCTAGATATTCGGTTAGGTGTTTTAAGGTTTGTGTTAGAAAATATCACTAAAACAACACTCAATTTCACATACCTACTGGCTAGTAATTTTCACCGTTTTATAGTAAAACATCAAACTCTTTTCCAAGAAGCTAATTAACGGACTTTATATTCAAGTTATGCCTGAAGATCTTGTCCAGAAGGATGAAAGCTTCTTGGTTAAACTACTTAGCTTAGAGAACACAACTACAAAAAAGCAACGGCCGCATTTTAAACATATCCCAGAAATTTCTTATGATTAATATACTCCAATTTCGTACATGGATTTGTAAGAAATGTAAATACTTTATTGTGTATGCTTTTTAAAGCAAAACAAACGAGCAGTAGTTTTAACCTCCTGTAATTTATGATACTACAGAGGTTTATCCCCGTGTTTATTTACACTTATCAATAATATACTTCAGGCTATGCAAATGACCTCAGAAAAGCGTAAGTTTACTTAGAATTTTTACTACTTTTGTTAATACATGTTAAAGGCGTTAAGTTTGTTTCTAAGGTTTTCTGGTGTTCGACTAGTAACATCTAATAAAACTATTTTTAGGCTACTGCTGTGGTCTATTACTTAATAATCTAATTCTCCACAAGGTTGATTGACTTTCACCAGTAGTGAAGATTAGTTGCCAACTCCAGTTGTCATGTATTAAGTACTTCTAACATCTCCAGTTCATACTGACTTGCCAGTGTAAAATTGAATTGCGAAATTTGAGAATCACTTCGGCATAGATATACGGATTACTAAGTGAACGAAATGTATATCTGTTTCCCAAAATCAGTCATAAGTTTTGTTTTGTACCGTGACCACTCATTTTAAAAGTTTTATTAACTCGTGATCGGTGATTGCTAATGATGCCTTTCAGAGATGAAGATTCATTCCCTTTTTCCTATAGTGTTGCAAGTGTAACAACTTGAAATGCTACTTTTGTTGCAAGGTTTGTGTTAGTTTATCCACTTACTTATTCACTGTGTGTAATTTGCAAGTGAGTGTGCTATTACACTGGAAGTTAGTTCCGCGTTGTGTGATAGACAGTTAATGATTGTCATTTTACATCGATGGAAGTAGACCGAAATATCATCCTGTGAAGTTGTGCAGCTTTTGTTTCTTATTATACTTGAAGAAACGCCGGGCTTTTCACCATCATACTTCATAATTTCATATAAGCGTTATAAATTCTCCTGGTGCCTGTTCTTCAAACATAGCTGTTTTAATCCAGTACATTATCCACATTTTTTATGCAAAGATCAACCAAACACACTCTGAGAAAAATAAATTGTAAGCACGGTTCTTTTTTCACTAAGAGTTGTCTAGCGTCAAAAATCGTAACTATGAATTTTCTGAAGTGCTTTCTACCTATTTGTTATTTAAACTAGATTTCTTAACCATCACTAGTTCTAAACACAATTCTATACGTGCCAGTGGCTTGTAGTGACTGATTTGTTGTATTTGTACCAAGTCAAGTTTCTAAAAACCCTGTCCCTCATTGATACTTCGTTTCTGATAACGTGCACGGTAACTAGTTGGTGTGTGGATTACATACTGAACATGTGTAGGTATACTCTTACATTTTAGATTCAGCTGATTATCAGTATCTACTTCGTGATGTTTCTAAATGTCAGTATTCATCTACAATTGTTTTGGTAGTTCTTGGGGTTTACAAATCAACTTTTTTACAGGTTTAATAAAATGGCCTAGGGTCTTCTGGATAATTTGTCTTTATTCAACTCTTTCCATTAACTTTCTCGTTCATTTGAGTCTACTATGTACTGTTAGTTTCGCATATACCAATTTACGCCGTCTCTGACGTAGACCTGATATCCGACTGTGGACCAAAGGGCGGGTATACTGCTCATCAGTCCGCTCCGTCCTCCTTTATGACGGGCTGTGATACCTGGCCATTGAGAATGGGAGACATGAAAAGATTAGCTGTCTTTGATCATAGGTGCCTGCGTTCTACTTCCCGTGTGAAGTGGTATAATAAGGTAAGCAATATTGAGGTTAGGCATCGAGTTCTAGTTAAGTAGGGGAAATCAGTCGACGAGGCTGTGAAGTTGCAAAGACTGAGATGGTTAGGACATTTGTTACGTATGCCTAGTCATCGCCTTCCTCGACTGACGGGCAATGTTAGCTGATATAGGGTCTGGCTGGAAAAGAGCTAGCGGCGGTCAAACCAAAACATGGCACCAGTCAATGAAATCTACAACAGTTAGTCTAAGTCACGTAGGAAGGTGTAGACTTCCTGGTTGGGGTCCTCAGGATGGTAAAAACCAATGGTTGGAAACAATTGGTGATATGGCTCAAAATCGTTCTCAATGGTTGGCTCAGATGCATCCACTCCTTGTGACTTATGATTTCCAATGAAACTGTTTTGTTCTTCGTTACTACTATTCCTTTGTCTCACACCTCTGTTTACTGTCTCTATTATGCATTTCTTTTACTTTCTTCTCTTGCTTTGTGTGTTACATGGAGTGTGGCGACTTGAACTGCTGCACATTGGTGCAAAGTTCTATGTCGAAAACTGACTATGTACTGGAATAGATAGACCTATTCAAGTTGGTTATCCTGAGAAGTTTACCAACTATCAAAACATTAAGTTTTAAATCATAATCCTTAAGTTTTTAAACAACTTCACTTTAGTCTATTGGTGGATGAGGACTAGCAGTGGAATACAAGATGTGAATCTCGTCCTATTTGGGACTGGTCACTGGATGTACCTGCACTCCCCAGTTGGTGACGGTGCTTCCGCCATGGCTCGAACCCAGTGCCCATAATTTCAAACACCAAGGGTCTCATGGGTTCCACTGCTAGTTACCATCCACCAATTGACTTCAAGTCACATGACCAGACATTGGCGAAGCATCTGCACAAGAGACGACATGTCCACCTGAGATCGAGCACTTCGGTCCAACCAAGTGACAGGAAAATCTCGAATTGAATTAAACTTCACTTAAGGTTTTACTGCTTGTTTTTGTTTATTTTACAACTTTCACTTCATTGAAAACTACAAAAGGAAATACAAATTACTAATCAATTTAGATATGGGATTTAATTAATGGGTTTATAAAAAGTACGAGATCTATAATAGACACATGCTCTGTTTCACAAGCATGAATAGATTCATTACAAAATGTCCATGGAATGTGGTAAATAAATAAAGTTTTAAGATATAATTTATCATAATGTTTATCTAATTTACCTTATTGTTATTCTTTCGTAGAAATTCATAAAAAATAATTAATCATTTTAAATTGCTGAAGGTAGATCTGTTGTTTTAGTCTGAAAAATGGGAATGTCTTTAATAGAGCACTTATAGAAGTTTTGGCAGGAAAAATATTATTTTTAAACAAAACGTTATGGTACATACTACTGATAAATATTAGTAGTTGGAAACCACCCGCGTCAAATACTATTGCTTGCTAGCTGAATTGAAGTGATCTGATTACCGGGCGACCGTTTGGTGTGTCCAGACTAGTCCAACTCAGCTTGCTGAATCAGTTTAAGCTACCTGAATTCTGACTATTTATTTGGATGAACTGGTAATATATAGAATCGGACTCATCAATTACAATCTACGTAGCTTGAAATTAGAATTTTGATAAAGTATCCTTTGAGATCAAAAACATGCAGATCACAATATGTGATCTGTCTGATATGATAAATGGCAATCAAAAAACAAGCAAAATTGCACAATTCCATATTCTTCTAATTGGAATGATTTTTATTAGTATAACTCAAGTGCTATTCGCATTCGAACAATTTATTCGAGTGCTTTTATTAATTCGAGGTTAAATCAGATGCATTTCAATCACGAAGACAACTAATA